CGCCCCTTAAAAATGAAAGCCTGTATATTAACATACCTCCGCATTTCACGTTTGGATGTAAACAATAAAGTATCACTGGTAGTTAACAAACGATCAGTATACTGTTTTAAAACAATATTAAGAAAATTTAGGTAATATAGCATGTTGAATTATACAGTAAATAATAATAATTGTCTCAAGTTGACACACATAATAAAGTCACTGTAGCTGCAAAGCACGTCGTATTACTTACTAGTCATGCAAACAGCAGTACAGCCTCGTCGCACAACTCAGGTTTAACAGTGTCATATTGTTTTTAACTTTTGGAAAAACTATAAACATTTTATACAGGGTGAGCTAAATAAAAGCTTCCCTACGTTATGACCAAACGGGATTTACATAAAACACCTTTCCGTGATCGATATGCTTTATCATTTGCATAGCTTCCTGTCTCGCAATATTCGGTACACCATCTAGCACATCAGGCAGAATGTTGGCATTAAAAGAAGAATGTCACCTTAATATCGGATTGGTAATCAATGTTGGCTTTTCAAAATCCCAAAGCAGCGCGTACAACAACACACCTAGTCCAAGTATGAACTTTATTATATCGTTGCTCTGCTGCAGTTCGTGGGTTCGCGTAAGGTATCGTAAAGCATTTATGAACTAGCCACCATCTCCTAATAGCCACACATCTCCTATAGCACCATTCTCAAAGATTGTGGTGAGAGCAAAGTTATTTAAAATATACACGGCAACTGTAAAAGAGGCGGAAGAATAGAAATATTTCCGCAGAGGAAATTGACTTCATAATTTATGAAGTGGGACAGAGAAAGAGGACTGTTTGGAAGTTTTGCTGGCAACTTGGCAGCTGTAGTTAATAAAAAGACATGGCAAGCTGTGACTAAAGCAGTCAATGCCGTATCCAGCAAACCACAAACTCAAGATGAGGTGGGTGTATGGGGGTGTGTGCGTTAGGTGATGTGAGTGTAGGTAAGGTGGGGTGTATGTTCAACTTTCATGTCTGCCAGGAAAAGCTCAACCCTATCTTTGCCTGATTTGGCTGGTTCCTTAGATGTTTACATTACTCAACCTTTTCATTTGCTCTTGCCATGACTCTCTCTCTCTCTCACTCTCTCTCTCTCGTCTCTGCAGGGGGTCAACGCCGTGTTTGAGATCTCGCTAACAGGTGGCGCCGGCGTGTTTGCGGTGGCGCCGCGCGTCGCGACGGGTTCGACGTCAGTGAGCATCCGCGTCGTTAACGCGTCCGCGCTCGACTACGAGAGGCTGCAGGATCCCGTCATAGAGCTACAGGTAAGAAAACATGGCCAGCACTGTTAGAGAGTTAAGCAGCAGTAGAGAGAGATGCCAACCACTACGATTTATCCGTATTTAATACGAATTTCTATTCCTTTTGCACCACTACGACCAGTTTGTATCAAACTACGAATTTCACTGTTATCGGAAAAAAAAATAATTTGTCAATTGTCATTTTTTTTCAATTTATTGTCATTTTTGACCCTCAGAATGCAGGAAATTGCATCTCAGAATCAAAAATTTTTCTGGGGGGCATGCCACACCCCCCTAGCAAACACAGGTCACTACGTGACCCTCGAACTACTAATTTGATGGCCAGAAACTACAGATTGCTTCAAATATGTGCTGGCATCTCTGCAGTAGAGAAAGATGCCAGGTTCGCCCGACTCTCGCTGCCTAGCTTCATGCAGTGTTGTGTTAGCTCCGTAACATCTTCTCGTAACGAATATCTAACACATCGCGAGAGCTTCCATCGTCTGTGTCGTCGTTGCTAGGTGACCGCCCGCGAGCGATCAACACCTCAGCATCTCAGCAGCGTCGCCGTCGTCACGGTAACGGTGGAGGATCGCAACGACAACGCTCCGGTCTTCTCGCAGCCGTCGTACGACGTGTCGATCCCCGAGAATGTGCTAGGTGGCGCCACCGTCGTCGTCGCCGCGGCGACGGACGCGGACTCGGGAGACTTTGGAACGCGAGGAATCAGATACCGGCTGTTTGGAAACGGAGCGGAGAGGTAGGATTCATTTTCCTGTTTTACCTTCATTTACTGTCTCTTTCTGACCTGAAATATTGAAATGCGAAAATTGTTTTTTTTAATTTGTTTAATTGTTATTTATAATTATTAGTAAATTATTGTTAACATTATAAATTGTGATTAAAAATTTAATTTAAATGAAATTATACATATGTATAT